CTGCCTTTTCTGTGTCTCTGCTATGAAGTATAAGAGCCACATCGTTCATAGACCAAGGGCCTGGTTCTCTGTTAGCAAGCAATAGCCTCACAACCTGAGATCCTGGACAGCCTGAGGACTCTGCCCTGACTGACCACATCCCCTCCCACCTCAGCTGTAAGCTGTCTGAATGGACACCAAGGGTCATCGTTGCTCTAATTGCTGATGGAGGCTCGTGTCCCCAATCCCCCCACACTTGGCTTGGCACTGGCCCCACCTCCCTGTTAGCACTGGTCACTCCAGGGACTGAGGCTCATCACACAGGCACACACTCAGGTACATCAGAGCCAGCCTGGGACTGCTAGAATGTCAGGACAGGGCGGATCCTGCTTCCCAGGCTCAGGGATGCTGTGTTCTTGACTCCTGGGATATACTCCTTAGGCATGGTGACACATTTGAGGCAGGACATTAAGATTCAGGGTTATCCTTTGCTATGTAAAAGGTTGGGGGCCAGCCTGGGCTACATGAGATCTTGTGTCAAAAATAAGATTTACAGCAGTGGTGACACATGCCTTTAATCCCAGCATCGGGAGGGGAGGCAGAGGCAGGCGATCTCTGTGAGTTCGAGGCCAGCCTGGTCTACAAGAGCTAGTTTCCAAAGCTACAGAGAAACCCAGTCTCATAATAATAATTGTAATAAAGAATTACAAAGCAGCCCAGTCTGTCTTCCCAACTGTTGGGTACCATGAGGCCTCAGCTGCCATGCGCTTACCTTGTGTCTGCCCTGCAGGCTGCCCTCAGCTGCGGGCCCCGCCCCGCCCGCCCGCCTGCCCGCCCGCCATGGATCAGGACTATGAGCGCAGGCTCCTACGGCAGATCATCATCCAGAATGAGAACACAGTGCCATGTGTGAGTGACATGGTGTCACCTGCAGACCCCGGCCCCTATACCCGAGGGACCTACTCTAGGGGTCGCCGCAGCTGAGCCCCCCCCCACCTCTCTCCCAGGTCTCAGAGATGCGGAGGACCCTGACACCAGCCAACTCCCCAGTGTCCTCACCCAGCAAGCATGGTGACCGCTTCATCCCCTCGCGGGCCGGGGCCAACTGGAGTGTGAACTTCCACAGGATCAATGTGAGGGCCAGGCCTAGCAGGGAGCGGGGCCAGTCACCCCGAGGTGGGCACAGCCCCTCATTGCGGTGTTCCCTCACGGACTGCTCTCCCATAGGAAAACGAGAAGTCCCCAAGCCAGAACCGGAAGGCCAAGGATGCCACCTCGGACAACGGCAAAGGTGAGGGTCGGTCCCGCCCACTCTGCCATAGCCCCGCCCACTCCTCACGCCAGAGGCTCCACCTAGAGCACACCCAACAACCTCCCGCCCTGCCCCTTCAGATGGCCTGGCCTACTCCGCGCTGCTGAAGAATGAGCTGTTGGGCGCAGGCATCGAGAAGGTGCAGGACCCGCAGACGGAGGATCGGAGGCTGCAGCCATCCACGCCCGAGCACAAGGGCCTCTTCACGGTGAGCCAGCGGCAGCCAGGGTCCCGTGAGGGAGAGGGCTGTGGGGGTGCCAGGGCTGCTCTGTCTGCGACATCCAGCCTATTCTCTGTCGGCTTTGGGTGCTTGGGGTTCCCAAGCCCTAAGGCCACAACAGCCACTCCGCACGGTGTCCCTGCCCCCAGTATTCCCTCAGCAGCAAGCGCTCGAGTCCTGATGACGGCAATGACGTGTCTCCATACTCCTTGTCCCCCGTTAGCAACAAGAGGTGAGCCAGGCCTGGTCCCTGAGTGTCTGGGTGGTGATAGGGACGCAGGGGTCTGGGACAGCAGCAAGTGGCCTCCTGCTGTCCCCGCAGTCAGAAGCTGCTGCGGTCGCCACGGAAGCCCACGCGCAAGATCTCCAAGATTCCTTTCAAGGTGCTGGATGCTCCCGAGCTTCAGGACGACTTCTACCTCAACCTGGTGGACTGGTCCTCCCTCAATGTGCTCAGCGTGGGGTTGGGCACCTGTGTGTACCTGTGGAGCGCATGCACTAGCCAGGTGTGCACCGGGCACTGTCCATGGGGTTTGACTGTGACCACAGGTGGTGCAGCCCACAGAGGAGGGGATAGAGCTACCGCATCTTGCCTATTCCTTCGATGCCCCCCTACACAGACACACCCGCCTCTCCCTGAGGCAGGGACCACTGTGGATGCCAGGACTCTGGTCTCCTTGGCTGACCTCTGATGCCATCTCTGTGCAGTCCGCCCCGTAGGCACTAGCTGGGGAATGCAGGTCTGCAGGCCAGAGCATCTGCCCTCACTCTAACCTCCTGCCCACAGGTGACCCGGCTCTGTGACCTCTCTGTGGAAGGGGACTCAGTGACTTCTGTGGGCTGGTCTGAGCGGGTGAGTGAGGAAGGGGAGCCCTGGGGTCACCTGTGACCCTTAAAGGAGGAAGGGTGGAACCCACCTGACCCTTTGATCTTTGAGTAAGGCCGCTTAGCTGGAGACTTCTTCCCTGTGCCACACGAGCACCGGCCTCTCTGTGCATGAGATGGGTAAACTTCTTGTCCCCATATCCAGCTGATGGCTACCTGGCCACCCCTGTCCCTCTAGGGAAACCTGGTTGCAGTAGGCACACACAAGGGCTTCGTGCAGATCTGGGATGCGGCTGCTGGGAAGAAGCTGTCGGTGCTGGAGGGCCACACTGCACGCGTTGGTGAGGACCTGGCCAACCCAGCCGCAGCCTTGCCGCCGGCCCTGACCCTGGCCCAGGCTCTGGCTGACCTGCTGTCACCCTGCAGGGGCGCTGGCCTGGAACGCAGACCAGCTGTCATCGGGTAGCCGTGACCGCATGATCCTGCAGCGGGACATCCGCACACCACCCCTGCAGTCAGAGCGGCGGCTGCAGGGCCACCGGCAGGAGGTGTGCGGCCTCAAGTGGTCCACAGATCACCAGCTGCTCGCCTCAGGGGGCAACGACAACAAGGTATGGCTGCTGTCACTCCTGCCCTGCCCAGGGAGGCCACTCCAGAACCTGAGGCTCCCAAGGATGGGGTGTACAGGCCACGGCCCTGGGGTCATCTTAGAGCATTTGGCCTGGGCGTGTCCTGGGTGGCCGTCACAGCCGTGGCCTGCCCGCAGCTGCTCGTGTGGAACCACTCAACCGTGAGCCCTGTGCAGCAGTACACGGAGCACCTGGCGGCCGTGAAGGCCATTGCTTGGTCCCCACACCAGCATGGACTGCTGGCGTCTGGGGGTGGCACAGCCGACCGCTGCATCCGCTTCTGGAACACGCTGACAGGCCAGCCCCTGCAGTGCATTGACACTGGCTCACAAGTGTGCAACCTGGCCTGGTCCAAACATGCCAACGAGCTGGTGAGTGCCCACGTGGGAGGCAGGAAGCATGGGGGCTGAGACCCCGCCACCTGTGCGCACTGTAGACTGGTACCTCCAGATTCCATGTCCTCCCTGAGGGAAGCCCAAGGGCATCTCCAAGCCCTCTGCAGCCCTAACACCCGGTCTCCGCCCTAGGTGAGCACACATGGCTACTCACAGAACCAGATCCTCGTGTGGAAGTACCCGTCTCTTACACAGGTGGCCAAGCTCACTGGCCACTCTTACCGTGTCCTCTACTTGGTGAGTGTTGACCACTGTTGCTGTCAGCCCCCTGGGGCCCCACGTGGTGGACTTGTCCCTGGCTGGATGAGCTCTGCCCCAGCCTTCCTGATGTACGATCCTAATCTCAGAGCAAAGCCATCCCTAAACAGTGTCCCCCCCAACCCGGGATGTGGGAAGTGGAGGATCCTCTCCACCAGACCACATGGCCTCTGTCCAACAAAAGTGTCAGTGTCCCAGCTGCCTGGTAGGCTCAGCTTGGGAACCCAGGGCTCAGACCCACCACTGCAGGGACCTCTGTGTCCTGCACCCTCAGCCTGGGGTGTGTCCCCTGGCACCTACCTGGCTTCTGCCTGGGTCTCAGAACCTGCCTGCTGCAGTTGGCAAACAACCAGGTCCCTTTTGTCCCCTCTATAGGCCATGTCCCCTGATGGGGAGGCCATTGTCACTGGGGCTGGAGACGAGACCCTGCGGTTCTGGAACGTTTTCAGCAAAACACGCTCTACAAAGGTAAGGAGGGTGGTGGTGCCCTCACATGGTCACACCCCTTGGGTTCTCAGGGCACCCTGGCACATGGTCACTCGTTCCCTGTTCCCAGGAATCCGTGTCTGTGCTCAACCTCTTCACCCGGATCCGATAGACCGCAGCCCCTTGGGGCAGAGATGGAGCAGCCAGCATGCATGGGCCCTGCTGTCCCCGCAATCCCCAGGAGGCATCTGACGGGCGGGAGCCGGGCCGGAGACCCCAGAGTCTCATTAAATGCCTCGTTGTGAGCTGTGGAGCCAGTGTCTGGGACAGGGACACGGGGACCCTCATCCACCGGCTGCATCCCCTTCTTGCTGGCCGTCGGCGCTCTCAGATGGACACTTTTGACCTCCCTGTCACCACTGCCCAAGCCATATTGGACACAGCTGAGCAGGAGGCCCAAGACCCTATCAAATCCCCCAAACCCAGTGTCACCTGGACCTGTGGACCAGAGCTGATATGCCCCTGTGCAGCCACCCCAGCCAGAACATCCTGGGAGGCGCTGGCAGGGCCTGCGCCTCTCGTTCTGATCCTGCTGCCTCTCAGTGTCTGTGTGTGCGCCTCCTGTGACTCATGCGTGTCACCTCGCCCCCCCCCCGGCCGGCGGCCTGGTCGGCCTTGTCCACTTCCTCTTGGCCTTCTGGAAGCTTCCCAGGCCTCCCTGACCTCAGACCCCCCCCCATCTTTGCCGCTCCTCACCTGGGGACACTGCAGATCCCCAGTGTGGTGGCTATGGCCGTGGTGTGTGCACGTGTGTATATATGTATCTGTGACGCCTTGGGGTCTGTTGTGTGTTTTCTTGCCTTGTTCTAACACCCTGATGGCCGGAGAAGCCACTGGGCATTAGGATAGCGGTCACTGTGGGGTCTGCTGCCTGTGAGGCCGGGAGTGTGGCAGACATTCTCAGCAGACCCCAGGCGAGCAGGTGCTGTGCTCCTCAGCAGGGGCTTCCTCCCAGCAAGATGGCGGGGTGCCTCAGCCTGTCGGGAGTCACCAGAAACAATATGCCATGGGACCCTTATTGCCACAGGAGGCTCCATAAGCCACCTGCCTGAACATAATAGCCTTGTCCATCTGATAGTCCCAACACCACACTTGTCAGTGAGGCTGGGCTGGTCCCCAGTGGACAGACAGCTGTGAAGGGTGAGGTCCTGTCTCTACCAAGTCCTGGGGAAGGGACAAGCTGCAGGCAAGCAGGTGTGGTCCAGGCCCCCACCCACACACTGGGGAAAACCTGCTAGGGTCCTGAGTGGCCAGGGGACTCCAGAGGCCTAAAGCCTCTCTGGCTGTGCGCTCCAGCCCCGAATATCCAAAGGTGGCCTGGGCTGTGGGCAGTTTGCACAAAGTCCCTGGGGCAGGACAGGTCCGGTATGTTGCAGAGAGGGAGTTGATGTTTGTGCTGTGGAAACGACCCCAGATGGACCCCGGTGCCTGGGTAGCAGCCACGGATACAGGTGCCACCCTTGGGTGGCAAAGGGCGCCATCAAGTACTTTGAGTTGGTTGTGTTGTTTATTGCAGTAAAAAACACAAAACACACTGTACTACCATAAAATGAGCTATGTAACAATCACTGCTAATTCTGGGGCTTTCTCTGACCAAAGGTGCAAAGGCTCAACCACATCTGTCACGAATCCACTTCCCTCTGTGGATCCCTGGGTCACGGTCATTTACTGTCACGGAGCCCACACTTCGTCCCCTGCTGAGTCCCATGTCCTCTGGGTCCCTCCACACTGGCTGGTGATAGTCTTCTGTTTAGGGCTGAGTGATGGTCTAGGCTGTGTCCCCACCACCCAGCAGACCCCCCCCCCAGCAGTGCTTTCCTTGTGGGTGTCCAGGGGACAGAGACTACGGTGGGGTGGGTAAGGGCAGACTGCGGAGACCCTGGCACAGGGAGGACATGGCTTGCTATTGTGTGGCAGGGAGAAAGTTAAGGAACATTCAGATATCCCCGGGTAGGGAGCTGGCAGGAGCCCAAAGTCACAAGCCCCGCTCTGGTCCTGAGGGCTCCAGTCCCACACCAGGAAGTAGGCTGAGGTCATGGGGACTGCACTGCCCACTTCCCTGTTGCTGGGACACCTTTGTCTCTGTCAACAATGGCCCTAGGGCCTTGGCACTGTGAGCCTCTGGGAACACAGGGGCAGACATGGAAAACCTGAGGCGGGAGGCTGCCCAGCCCTTTGTCCCCTCGGGCACCCTGGAACTCAACTTCCCCGCCCTTCTATACAGGTGGGTTCCTGCATTTGGCACCTCCCTTCACCCAAGCACCAGCTTGCCCACCCCTCCCCAACCTGCAAGTCGAGTTGGCTGGGATACTGGTGTGCAGGGGATTGGGAGTCAGGCATGTGCACACCCACACCAAAGAAGGGAAGCCCCCAGTCTCAGATTGCTGGATTTGAAAGAACTCCCTCCCCTGAGAGGCCACGGTATGTGTGAGAGGTGGCAGCCCTAAGGGGCAGTATGCCTGGCCTGCCTGACAGCTCATGGAACTCAGGCCGGGCTCAGCTTTACCGCATAGCTGAAGATGACCTTGAACTTCTGACCCTCCTGCTGCCCTCCACAGGACTGGAATATGCCACCACACTATACATTTTTAAAGTTTGAGCCAGGATCTTTCTGTGTAACCCAAAAGACTAAACTTAGAAAGATCCCCCTGCCTCACTCGGCGTTACTGAGCACAGGAATGTGCCACCCAGCGAAAGTCCCACTTCACAGGCCTGTTTCACAGCGGCCTCTTGTGGGCTGAGGGCAGTCCCAGGGGGTCACCATGGAGTCCTGGTTTTGAAATTATAGAGGGTACACTCTCTTCTCCGCTGCAAGTTCCAGGCCACCTGAGGCCTGCAGGAGCGCTCAACTCCGGGTACCATCTCAGAAATTTCCTGCCAAGCAGACCCTGGCTTGGTCCCCTTCTGCCACCAGAAGCTAGGCTCCTGCCTGCCATACAAGCACTTGAGAGGCTACAGCAGGAGGATTGCTGCATGGTCGGAAGACCTGCCTCAAACACAAGCAGGGCATCCTCAGCTAAGAGACAATGACAGCGGATGGGGAAACACACAGAGGAGAACCCTGGGCGGGTATGGGGTGACCCTCACTCCGCAGCACCTTTGCAAAGGGGGCAGACACCCTTGCGACAGGGAGCAGGAAAGCAACTGCGCTCAGTACCCATCCTCCCTCAGCAATGACTACCTGTCCCTGGAGGGTCCCCGTTGGGCACCGGCCGTCAAGCAAGCTGTGCGCTGGAAGTTCACGCCCATGGGACAGGACGCAGCCGGCCAGGTGTGGTTCACCGGCCTGACCAACTCGGACCCCCGTGAGGCCTGGTACATGCTGCCTGCCGCGCTTGACAGACCGTACCGCGAAGCCCATGCGCGCTGGCACGGTTGCTTTGAGAATCGCCAGCGTGACCTGCCGTCCGGTGAGTGTCACTCCCCCAGCCGCGCACGCCCGTGGGTCCCACGCTGACCCCGCCCTCGCCTTCCCGCAGCCTACACGCAGCACCTGCGGGAGACGGCCTTCTGGGACCCCATGCTGCCTGCGCAGTATCTCAGCCCGGGCACGCGCTGGGGGTGCATGCCATGGAGGGACAGGCACATCCGCGGCAAGGAGTTTGGTGAGTGACGGATGGAGACGGGAGGGAGGTGGGGCAGAGGTGCAAGCAGGTCACCCCAGCACTCCCGCGGCAGAGGCAGGAGGATCTCTGTGAGTTCTGGGTACAGCCTGGGTTACACGGTGTCAAGCTTTAAGAGACCCTGTATCAAAACTACAGGGAAAGGGGGAAAAAAAAAGCCGGATGGTGGTGGCACATGCCTTTACCTTTAATCCCAGCACTGGGGAAGCAGAGGCAGGCGGATCTCTGAGTTCGAGGCCAGCCTGGTCTACAACAGCTAGTTCTAGGACAGGCTCCAAAGCTACAGAGAAACCCTGTCTCGAATAACCAAAACAAAAAGAAAAAACAGTTAAGAACCGGGCAGCAGGTGGGAGTGGGTGGGGAGCCGGTGCGAGGCGACGGCGGGGGGTGTGGCCAGCATGCAGAGGGTTCAGCTGCCAGCCTCTGAGCCCAGTCCGGGTCCCCAGTGGTCAACAGGAACCAATTCGGGGTGGAGCCCTGGCGGTCCGACTACGTTCCCCACCTGTCGCCGCCACAACGGCCGCGCTACACCTCGCAGGACTTCAGGCAACGGGACAGAGAGCGCCCCTGCCCGGCCACCGGCCAGCCGCCCCCGGCCTTCACGCCCGCGCTCTGATAAAGCCCTGCTGCCGACCAGTGCCTCGCGTGTCTGTGGGCTGGGCGACCGTCCCCACGCACGCAGTCCGGGGTGTCAATCCTGCTATATTCTCCTCGGGTCCCAGCGAGCCGATTAGCCTTCCCGTCCCTGGTCCCTGCGCTGGTCCACGGTTGGGGCGGGGCACCCACGGGTCCTCGGGGTTCAAGGAGCATGGCCGGGTATCCTTCCCCACCCTCATGCTGTGCCCTCTGACCCCCTGCAGGTGGGGGACCAGGGGGGTCAGGGTGTCTGCCTGGTCCTTCGTCGTGTTGCCCTGGGGAGCCAGGTCAGGGCCGGTCTCCGAGGTCCCCTGAAAATGAGGAGCAGGGTGGGGTTGGAGAGGGCGGGTCCCAAGTCGCACGTTCCCCAGCCCCCAGCCCCGAGACCCCACCCAAGCCACAGCGATGGAGACTCACGGGTGCGGATGCGGATAGGCCAGATGAGGAGGCTGCAGAGAGCCAGGGCCGCGGCTACACCCACGCCGCCCGTCACAGTCACCATCACCCAGTGGTAGAAGCCGACGCAGGCCCAGCAGCAGAGCTCAGAGCTAGGGGACAGACGTTGGGCTGAGGGCAGGGTCCCCTGCACCAGTCCTCCATGGAGCCCATCCCAAGTTCCAGAGAACCCTAGGCCTACACACACCCCAGTAGACAGAGTTCCCCTGCAGCCCACAGTCCTGCCTTGTCCCTCAGCTCCAGCCCGGGCTCAGTCCTGCCCCAGGGCCTTTGCGCGGACCCTGACATGGTACCAAGGTTCTCAGGAACCCTCCCGGCCTCCTGTCTGACCCCAACTCCTGAGATCGCACCTTACCACTCCTACGCTCAATCCCGTTTACTACACGCCTGGCATTGTTCTGGGCCAGCAAGGGGCTGTAAGGGGCCCAAGTGGCCCTGTGTCCCCTGTAGCCTGGCCCTTAGCACCCAGCTCACGAGAAACGTCTGCTGCTCCTGTGGTCTGAGGACATGAACTCACGGGCAGGGGTGCAGACTCTGCACAGCCATGACTGCTAGCCCGTTGGCTACCTTATCCGAAAAGCTCATAGCACCGTACACGAAGGCTCCACTGTGCTGGGGGACACACAGGTCGTCAGTACCCAGGCCCAGGATCCAGACCATCGCCTCCCGAGGCTCCTCCCACCAGCCCTACCGTGTGTGGGCCAATGAGGTCAGCTGTCATGGCCAGCGAGGTAACCAGGATGGTAGCACAACCCGCACCCAGCAGCACAGCGGCCCCGTACACGGCCACGCCCAGCTTATCTACCAGGGCCACCCACGCTGCGAAGGCCAGGATCACCAGCAGCCCCGTGAAATAGGTCATCTAGGGAGGAAGGAAGTGGGGCCTGCATCAGACCCCCATTGCTGGGCATCCCGTGCCCGACACTCGCCCTCTCAGGTCCTCAGCCCAGTGAAAGGCTCCACTCCCAAGACAGGCATTGCTGGTTCACGCCCAGGGCACCCATTACCAATCAACCTTCTGTTGTACAAACAAGTCAGACTCTACTAATCAATTTTCCATTCTACATCCAGGGTAGGCTGTCCAAGGGCCACAGCCCACCAGGCAGGAAGGAACAGCCTGGAAGGTTCCACAGCCCTGGGGCCCGAGGGCCAGAGAAGCCTGTGGGACTCAGGCTCCGTCTGACACCCATAGGTGTGGGTCGGCCCTGCTGTCCCCTGCCCGCCCCCGCCCGTCTTCCCAGCATCACTCACGTTCCTCCCTATGCGCCTGTTGACCGGCTTCATGAGGAAGGAGGAGAAGAAGCCACTCAAGTACATCACCAGAGGAATGGTGGCAATGAACTTCTAGGGAGGGAAAGGCGGCGGCAGTCCAGAGGGGTCTCCCAGGTCGGGAGGCCCTGCCCATCTCCTCACCACAACCCTGTCTCACCTTGGGCAGACTGAGAGAATAGGTCAGGTACATAGCGATGTAGGTCTGGGACAGGTTCACGATGAGCCTCGTGGTCATGTACAGCATGCCCACCTGTGGGCAGATGAGCAGGGGGACAAGCCCAGGGCTCAGTGGGAGACCCAGACAAGGATTTGGAGAGCAAGCTGAGGGCTTCTGCAATGCATGACTCATTACAGCTGACTGCTCAGCAGGCAGGCCGGGAGGGACGACATCTGTGATTAGTAATGTCTGCCCTGGGTGGGGTACAGGAAATTGGGAACATATGTCGTATGTGGAATGGAAAACTGATGTCTGCCCCAAGTATGAAACAGACCTCAGCTGGCCCCGAAAGATCAGTGTGGGAGTGATTAGTCTGTCCTGAGCACGGGACAGACAGCCGTAGAAGACTGGTTCACAATGTCTACTCTGGATGAGAAAGGTTGATTAGTAATGCCTGCCCTGGGCACAGACTGTGAGAGCCACTGGTGATGTCAATTCTGGGTGTCTTCTCCAGTCCCATCAGCACCACAGTGTACCTGGTAGAAAGCTGGCTCCCGAAGCCAGTGTTTCCAGAGCAGCAGTGGCCGGGCCGTGGGAGCCACCAGGGGGCTGTGTTCATCAGGTTCTATCTCCCGAGGCCGGGGCCGGCGCCCCTCCTTGGTACCCAAGTGGAAGAGGAGTGAGAAAATGGCTCCCACGCCCACCACCAGCAGGGCCAGGTTCTAGAAAGAACGGCGGGACTTAGCTAGGCTTCCATAGGCTCGGAGACCCCAGGGCCACCACACAGCCCCAACTTACCCGAAACACCGGCACATCCTGGACTCCCAGCTGGTCACCCATACTGATGTCCTGCGCACCATGCGCAGAGCCCTGCAGGTGCAGCAGCAGCCAGGCGGCGCCATAGACCGTGATGTTGGCCACCACGGTGAACGCATACCTGTGGGTGAGCGCCCAGCTCAGCATGAGTCCACAGAAACCATGTCTGGTACATATCAAACGCTCAATAAATGCTTACTGCGTATCAGAAATTCAGAACACTAACTTCCAGAGCCAACGTGGTCCCCAAGTCCACAGAGTCCCAGCCTTGCTGGTGTCCTTTCCTGAGGGACAAGGCCACAGACCACAGCAGAATAAAGGGTCAAGTGGAAACAATTAGGCCCTGGGCCAGCTGCGGTTCCTTTGAAGGAGTGTCCCTGGAGGGTCTGGCCTAACCAGGTAACCTTAGGACATCAGCCTTAGGCGATGACCTGGGGTCGTCTCTGCCAGCCTCTGAGAATCAACAAGCCAATGCTTCAAATTCTACAGCCACGCTCCAGGCTGGTGCACACCCACCTTTCCAGCTACTCTGGGAACTGAGGCAGGAGGACCACAAACTCAAGGTCAGCCAGAGCAATTTTTTTTATCTTTTTTAAAAAAAATGGGCCTTTAATCCCAGCACTCAGGAGGCAGAGGCAGGTGGATCTCTGAGTTTGAGGCCAGCCAGGTCTACAGAGTGAGAGACCCTGACTCAGAAGAAAGAAAGAGTGAAGGCACCGCGTCCCTTTCTACGGCGACTGCCCCCAGCCCCAGGTACCTGAGGGCTGTGAGCTCCACCTTCTCGTGGTCACTAGTCACTAGCTCGGGGATGAGGCTCAGGTGGGCGATCTGGGTGGCAGCCCAGCCAAACTGGAAGATGACAATGAACGGAGCGTAGTAGAGCAGGGCGGCCCACTCAGGGGTGGCCTCCCCGCAGCCGAGGCACGGGCTGAAGATGAACGGGAAGGACAGCAGGACGCAGACGGTGCCTGTGAGGCAGAGGGGCAACATGGGGGGGGGTGAGGGGAGGCTACAGAGCAGGCAAACAGAACAGAGGAGAAACTGAGGCACGTGGCAGGCCAGGAGTCTCCTTAAGTGGCCTGTGACTAAGGACGGGGAGAAAGGACAAGAATGGGGGTCACTCACCAGCTCTGAGCTCAGCGTCACCCCCCACATCTACAACCTGCCCTATGTTCTGTCCCCGAGGACAAGCTGGGCAGGGAGGAGTCAGGAGGCCGCTCCTGGGTACAAGGCAGAGCCTGCCACTGTCCAGGAAGGAGGGAAAGTGTTCCATCCTGCTCCGTCCACTCAGAAAGATACTAAGGAGTTTAAGATGCTCCCTCAGCCCACCGTGTCCTTCCCACCCAACCCCTGCCCCAGCGACCAGGATCCGTCCGTCCATCCTGTCCCTGAGCCTTCACACGGCTGCCCCATGTATCCTACATATCACCACAGCCTCTCACCCTGCACTGTCTGCAGCCCCTGCCCCTGCCCCACCCAGACCCAGGGACTCCCACTGTGAACTACTCTCTCCAACCAGACCACAGGTCCCCTGGGACTGAGGCAGGTACCCCTATGTTCCTTCTGTGTCCTAGGCATTCAGGTCAGCTCGAGGACTCTGAGCCCCAAGTGGGTTCATAACAGAGGTTTCTCTTCATTATCACTCCACACAGTCCAGGCTAGCCTTGAACTCCTGATCCTTTTGCCTCAGCTTCCAGAGTACTGGGACTGGAGGCGTGGGCCACCACCACCTGGTTCCCTTCGCACGTTTTTAAGTGGATGAACTTGAATCTGAGGCCCCGTGAGACAACACATCCCTCAGAAAGAACCCAGAGCCTCTTCTGCCTGGCAAACTGGACTTCCAACTTCCCCTTCCTGCCCGGAGGTGACCTTACCCACCCCCCTTGTGTCTTGGATTGAGAAACGAAACCAACCCTCAGGAGGGGACCATGGCAAATTCCTAGGGGCTGCCCCAGGGGGCCGTGTGGCCTCTGGACTCTCTCGTGACCACACACACCCTGCACTATCTGGGGCCTGGTTAACCATTGCAGCCAAGGCTGGGCGGGTGGACTGCAGGTGAGTGGCCTCTCTGGGCCTCGGTTAACCTAAGAGTTCTTTGGTTCTGGGACCCAAAGTGGGGGAGTTTCAGGTTTAATGAATACATCTGCCAGGCGTGGTGGCACACGCCTTTAATCCCAGCACTTGGGAGGCAGAGGCAGGCAGACCTCTGAGCTCGAGGCCAGCCAGAGCTGCCTCCACTACCCTGGCCCAGGGGGCACAGAAAAGTTGTCAGTTTGCCTGGGTGCAGTCACAGGCTCGGGGCCTCGG